GCTGGCCTTGCTGACCCTGCTGAACCAGAGGAACAAAGAAATTTGGCATTGGGGCACCACCAGGCCTCATTCCAGGGACAAGTTGCTGTTGGTAGCCAAATCCAGCCTACAAAAAATAAGAGATTCAATTTCAGAATCAGTAATTGCTGATCCTGTGGTGGACGTATTTCAAATGCCAAGTAAACATGCAATCACATTCTACCACCCTAGATTTATGTCAATGCTCACATAGACTTCAGAATAGAGAAAAGGAACCAAAGAAGTATATTGCATCTCAATGCTCAAGCTGCAAAGAGCTCATATCATAGACATGTTGAGCTTAGCTTCAAGTCTCAATAATGTATGATCCCCAAGCCAACTATCATGCAGGATTTCTGACAAAGTTCATCCCAATTGATGCTAAAACTAATTAAACCATCGCATGTAGGTTCAGAAGTTATTAGAACCTCATGAAATGTATAAATATCCATTTGATTAAAAAAATCAAATACAGGATATCACACAATGTTGAATGAGTCTATATTAAAAACTCGAAACATCTAGCATAGGAGTCCACATTTCATAGATGCATCATACACCATGATAGCATATATTTCTGATTATGTAGACACAAAAACCCAAAATTTGACCATGTGTTCGTGTCAATTATTCAATTATAACCTTATGTTTTTAATTTGGTCAATTAACCCTTGTGTTCTCATAGTATATTCATTGACCCTTGGACTATTCTGTCCACTCTCCCTGTTAGCTAACTATGATGACATGTACAAATGCGGGGCTGGTGTGCTGCATGGACAGAAATCATCAAAACTGGGCTAATGTTTTAAAATAAAACACCTTTCGAATTGAATCACCAAAACAGCCAAGGAATGCAATTTATATATTATTTTTTGTTTATCAACATATATTCTTCGATTGATGCAGTTATAAAACGTGAAAAGGTACCCTATCTGCAAATTCTCTCTTTTCCAAATTAATTTAATTTCTCTTGCCTAGCTTTGTTAAGGAAAAAAAAAAAACCTCTGACATATTGTGTCTATCTCTATTATGTTTTTGTTGGGACTGACTTTGTTTATTATGTAATTATTTTTTTTGTTGCTAAGGGCCTTTGGAATATGGGACTTGCAATAATGGTTGATTTGGAGGCCGTGGAAGCTTGTGCGTGATGTTGATACCTCTTTCTAATGGCTGTCTCAGCGCTAGCTTTCTCTCTTTCAAAAGACCCTCACCTTGAATTCGTGATTCTTCATTGGATTCCTAAAAAGCTTCATCCTAGAGAGCCCAATTTCTGGGTTTGAGTTGATAATTATATTCCTTTTTTGTGGTATTATTTATTTATAATTAGCTTTGAAGAATTTTTAGCTCCATCAACAGTCCAACAACCCAGCTTAATGCCATATCATTGCTTTAAAAAATGAACAATCATTCTAAAGCCATAGAGGACTAGAAGAAACATAATAATTGTGAACAATCAAGCAAGCACGTTGAAAAAAAGTTCGGATAAGTTACCTGGGGAGGCATCATGGCTGGAGGTCCTTGCCCATACAGAAATTGCTGTCCCATACCTGGAGCACCAGGAGGATACATTGGCATACGAGAAGCAACTGAAGGTGCCATGGTAACTGGCCTCATTTGAGAAAATTGTGCCTGCGTGAAACCAGACACGCGAAAAATAAAGGCACAAATTACCTCAGCAAACATGAACATCAGTAAGTAGCCTTCAACAGCACAGAAGAGATGCCATGTTGCAATAGGCAGCAAACAGCAATAATTAACTCACTTTTTCCTACCAACAACTGTATCTACTTTCATACATAAATAGATATCTCCTAATAGCTAAAAGAACCAATCACACTAGTATCAGATAATGGTAGGGATCATGATCCCATGACAATCAATAGCATTGCTTTTCAGGTAGAGTGGAATCTCTATGGCCTTGAAGCCTTGTGAGAAAAAATGAGAATATCCAAGAGAAACAATCCATTCTGAAGTTCATATTCTTCCCTATGAAAACCATGAAACTGTTTGAAGAGACTGGATAAACAAGTATCTTTCAAGAAGAAAGGTCTATAATTAAAAAGAAAAGCTGTCAAAAAAGACGATGACAATAATAATAGAGGGTATAATAATTAAAGTATCTATCAAAAAAGCCTTCCAAACAACCAGAACATCTAAGTTATCAAAAAAAGACAAATAAGTAACTTGGAGGATCCAGCTGGATTAGTAGCATATTTTAATTAAAAACACCACTTATACAATTGCAACCAAAATAGTACCTGAAGTCTTGCTCTTCTCTCTTCCTTCCGTTGAGCAAGGGCAACATACAGGGGTTTGCTGATCAACATTTTGCCATTCATCTCAGCAAGCTGTGAAAGAAACAAGGATGAATATTAACTTTGATCACAGTATGGCAGCCATAAAGATCATAACTTACAGCTCGAGACGCTTCTTCAGGAGTTGAGAAAGCAACAAATCCAGAACCTCTACTAATACCACTAGGGTCACGCATGACCTGTAAGTTTCAAGAGTGGAGAATGTTTGAATGTCAGCATCCATGGGAAAAAAGAGATCAGAACAGGCTGATTTCCAACATACGTGGACAATATTTCAATACCTTGCACGAAGTAATAGTACCAAAGTCAGAGAACAATTCCTTGAGTTTTTCATCATTGATGCTATCATCTAGATTCTTGATATACAAATTCAAGCCTTGAAATTTGTCAACAGTCTCCTTCATACTCTGCTCAAATCGCCCTTTCAATTCAAGCTCTCTTTCAGATTTTTTCTGGGCTTTTCCAACATACCACTCCTCACCATCGATTTTCTTTCCATTAAGAGCCTCAACAGCTTTGGCAGCATCATCTGCACTTTCAAAGTTAACAAATCCAAAACATTTTGATTTACCATCAGCATCCCTCATCACCACAGCACTAGTAATTGCTCCATGTTCAGCAAAAATATTCTTCAAGTCTTCATCTGTTGTGGATTCAGCCAGATTTTTCACAAAAACATTGTTGAATTTTATGCTATATAGAGCACCATCTCTGTCCTGTTTGCGAAGAAAGTGTCCAACATACACTTGTTTATCATTGATCAACATGCCATTTAATTTATCTATTGCATTTTGTGCAGCCTCCTCGCTGTCAAATTGTACAAAACCATAGCCTTTGGACTGGCCAGAAGCATCAGTAGCAACTTTGCAAGAAAGAATATTGCCAAATGAAGAAAATGTGTCGTGTAAAGCTTTGTGATCAATACCCTTGTCCAGGTTCTGCAGTCCCAAAAACACAACACAGAAAAAAAGGTCAGCATTAGTCGAAGGCATCACAAAAGAAAGGCAACGACATAAACCCATTTTGCTTTCAGAATATAGTACTACAGAAGACTTAAAAGGATCTATATAAAGCTTTTCAAATTGGAGAATGAGTATCCTATTTCCTGGCATAATGAAAAAATTAATTCCAGACAACCAACAATAACAATCAGCTGCCTTAAAAGAGAGAAAAATCAAACAGAGAAGTTAACATGAATGTGAATACCTTGATAAATATATTTGCCATGCCACTCTTACGAATACTTGGGTCCCGATGGGAATACATGATCCTGATAGGCTTGTTATTGAGTGGAGTAAAGTTCAAGACATCCAATGCCCTAGCAGCTGTAGATGAGTAAGTAAATAAATGTTGTAAGAAACGAAGGTAAGATAATAATGAGATTCCAGTAAAGTGTTGAAGACATGAAAGTGCGTTGTCAGCATAGGCACTGACCAGTGACACCTCGAAATGTGTTTCTTTAATCAAGGGTTAAAGATCAATAAACTTCTATGATATGATTCTCCAATGACCACATACATGAAAAGCAAATCAAAACTAAATCACTTCAATAGTTATGGGCCTACATTACATGACCAAATCATCTTACACGAACTTCAAATCAACTGCTATCACCTCCACCTTCTGAGGGATTATGGCTGTGCCTTCCCTTACTATCTTTATTCCACTCTCTTAATTCACATTCACACATGTAAACCATGGCATCCCTGATAATGGGCAAGATTCAGGAAGCCCATCTGTTGTGTATTGCTACATCCACACCCTAACTTTCATACAGGATTATAGTTTACGCTTAATGGACAAATTACTCTACTGTCTTAAATTCTTATCACAATACCATTAAATCGCAAGCATCTAATCCAACCAGTAGTAGCTAAATATTATATTAAAATCTTACTCGACCTCTCCTCCTTTGTATCAACAAAGGGCTAGAAAGCATAAAAAATGAAGGCCAGGGGGATGATCTTCCCCCACGGCAATTCAAAACAGTTATGCAATGGTTTACTTTAATAGAATTAAATTAATCATTCCTGATACCAAAAGTTCTCCGGGGACCATGTAGTTTCCCTCAAGCCAATCCATACAAGTTTAAAAGCTTCCACTGGATCCTACTTAACCTAAAGCTACCGGGATTTAAAACATACCTTCATAATTCGTATATTCTCAATATGGTCCCCCAACATAATTTTCTTACAAAAGTAATCCATCCATTCACATTTTTCAATACCGAAAAAGATTTCAACTTCAGTTCCCGTCACATATTACGATAAAAAATACAATTAAAAAAAATAGGCCAGGAAAAATGCATACCATCCTGAGGGTTGCTATAGTTAACATAACCATAGCCAAGAGATCGCCTGGTACTCAAATCCCTACAAACCCTAACCGAAACCACCTGGCCGACCTGATTAAACACGTCGTAAAGTTGCGAATCAGTCACGTTGAAGTCAAGATCACCAACATAAAGCGAAGTCGGCACAAACTGGATCGCTCCAGGTCCCGCCGCCACTCCGTTGGGTCCCGGAACCGAAGCCCCCGATTGATGCAGCTGAATCTGCGCCATCTCAAATCAAAACACACAGGCCTTCTGGATCCTTCAAATTTTTTCTATTTTTTCTTTTTTTGTGATTTTTTTGTTTCCCTCTCCTCCTGTTACAATTAAATTAAAACCTAGAGAGATCAACAAAACACACAGAGGATTCTAAACTGGTAATCTAAGACCTAAAAGTATATATTTGGGGATTTTTTAGGGTAATATTGGGATAAAAAGAGGAGAGGGAGGTGTAAAACGGGGATAGAATCGTCGGAGGGAACCGTACGGGATACGACGGAGAAAAGGAGAGATTTTTTTGGGTTTTTTGGGTGGGAGGGCAGACCAAACTGCACCGCACCAGCCAAGCGGTAACTGTGGAGCTTATATAGTGAGGTTATTAGGAGAAAGAACCCTAGTTTCGGTTTTAGATCGGCTTTAATTTCTGGCCGTTTGATCCTTTCGTTACCCATGGCCAGGGGTTTGTTTGAACGGCTTTTATAAAACTGTGTGATGATCATCAAGTAAAGTTAGGCTGGCTGCATTTAGCACATGGGATGACGTGGTATTTGACAAATTCTTGATTTTTTTAATAAAAAATTTAGTACATGAATTTTATATGCTAATATTAAAAATAAAAAATAAAAAATTTAGTTTAATATTTTTTTAAATAAAAATAATTTTAAAAATTATTATTCACCGTAATTTCAAATATGACATGATTATATGACATAATTTTTATTTTTGCTTGTATGTACTTTTCAAAAAGATTTTGGTTTAAAAAATATTAAATTATTGATTTTTTATTATTTTAATGATTTTAATATACTAATATTAAAAAATTTAAAAATATATTTTTAAATAAAAAATTATTTTAAAAACTGCCTCCTATTAGAATCTCAAACGGTACTGTGCTTGTACCTTCTCCCTTCGCTTTTGTCCACACGAGAGTGTATGCTTTATCAACTCTTATTTTAATTATTTTATTTTAAAGTAATTTAGCTAAAGATTGGGATAGAGTCATATTTATTAAATCCAGTTGCGTCGACGGCCAGGTAAGCAAGTTGATGGGGATTTAGTCCGACTAGGTCCTTAGCTGGGGTTTTAAAAAACATTAACTAAAATTAACTTAATTTGATCTTGTCAACTCATTGAATTAACATACCACTAGACTAACTGTCCAAACTTAATTGATTTTTCAATGTATTAATTTGACTATAAATAAATTGTTTAAGATTTTATTAAAATGTGATTTAATCTTTAAGTGTAGTAATTGATTTAAAAAATGAGCATTAACCAAATAAGCATTTTGTAAAATAAAATTTCCCTTCCAGACATTTTTAAAAAAAAAAAACAAGAAGAAGAAGACGTGAAAAACTCAACCAAATGGAAATATCATCCAAAGGGAAAGGATATATAGAGCACAGGAAACTGGTTTTATGGGCCCTTAAAAGGCCTAGAGGAAAGAGACAAGTATTTGAATACTTTCCAGTTCAGATCAAGCTCCGAAGGACAAGCATAAATCATCAGCCTTGATGCCGGAGTGAAAGCCCAGAACGGCTTCCCTGGGGGCCCAGCACGAGTTTCAATTTCCAAAGCCTCGACGATGGAAATATTACCACCTGATCCATCTGAATCGCAATCTCACCTCTAAAACCCATTTCCTAGTTCATTTTTGGGCCCATCATACCTTTACAGAATGCGAATAGCAAGGGTTTTGAACATGCGTGTCTCTAAAAAAGTGAAGAAATCTAACTGCCTGGCTTCCCAGCGGATTGGACTTCCTATTTTCAACAATAAAATAAATAAATATGCAAATTTTTTCAACGACTTTCTTTATAATATAAATAAAAAAATCTACTTCTTTATATTAATGCTCACAAAAAATAAAATTATAGTATTCATACAACTCGCTCGAGTAATTTTTCCCTGACATGAATAGAATTTGCATGCAGGTGTTCCTGAAATACTTTTTTGACACAAACAAATAACTATAAACAAAACAAGCAAATACTTACACACAGGGAAATACAGTAAGAATCACATGTTCTCTCTCAACCACTGTCTAGATTATGTCTAGATTATAAGATTGTAATAATTTTATAAAAATTTAAAGTTAAACAAATTAATTATATAAAAAACAAATAAATATGAAACACACTATGAAGATTAATTTTAAATAAATTAAATATTTTTTAAAAAAATTAAACATTACATATTAAAAAAAAATATAAAAATAATAACATATTAAAATGACATGGACTTTATGACTCTATTTATTAAACCTATAATTCAAGCCTTAAACTTTATTGAGTTTAAAAAGATTATTATTTTATTTTTATTCTAAATATACAATTATATATTTTTTTAAAGTAAAAAAACAAAATAAATAAAATTAAAGCAAAAAAAAAAAAGTCTAGCATGCATGGGCTTTAAACAAGCCCAAACACGTAAGTCTTTTAGCTTATAATTGTGCCTGTAGCCCTTTTAAATTTTTTTACAAAAAAACTATATGGAGTGAACAACTTTAAAAAATTAATAATTCAAATGATATATTGTTTACCAACTCAAAAAGTATTGCGTACTAAATCACAATTCAACGATCATTGCAATGCTGAAAGTTAGACCATAAATTTTTTTTTATATAAAATTTTATTTTCATTTCATTTTCACTTTAAAACACCCATGTACCATCAAAAAAACTATACACCAACCCAAAAAAATCAAAAACACCAAAGTAATCAGGGTATGAATTTTTTTTCTTGAATCAAATTTGTTTTTTCGTGTAACATTTTTTTTTGTTAAATATTAAAACTAAAAATAATCATCATCAAAATTTTCTTATTGAATGAGACTCATTTACACCTATGAACGGTTTGGGAACGCGGTTTAACTGGCGTTTCTAAAAAAAATTATTTTTTTATTTTTTGTTAAAAATTAATATAATTTGTATATTTTGGATCATTTTGATATGCTGATGTTAAAAATAATTTTTAAAAAATAAAAAAACATCATTGATATACATTTCAGCATGAAAAGTTATTTGAAAAGTAACTGCTACAACACTGCCAAACATATTCTTAGTTTGATCTTCTTCACAAACATAATCAAAACAACAATGATTTTTTTCATTGTCAAAATCTAGTGATTTTCTCTCTCTTCTCTCTGGCAAATGAATTTAAAAATATAAAAAATAAAATTTTATACCAAAAGAAAATTTCAAAGGTCTACAAAATTGAAAATATGTCATTGAAAAAATAAAAGTATCAAAGCTAATTTCTCAAAAAAACTCTAAAACCACTTCTTGTTTTCTTTATTTTTTTTTCTTTATTTTTTCACTTTGGTCCTCTATTGTTTGATTTTGTCCTTGCTTGACTATTATAGTTAAATTGGTAATCAATTTAGTCCAGAAGGTTTAAAATTCTTTTTTTAAAAAAAGATATCGAGATAAAATTAATTATAAATAGTGAATTTATAGTATTATAGGAGATGATTTATAGTGTATTTTTACACAAAAAGTCCTTTGTGTCTTTTACAAAATCATCAATGTATTTTAATAATAGTTATCACATTGGTTTCGAGAAATTTTTGAAAAATAATATAAAAAAAATCTAAGTTATTGGATCACAAGATTAATCATGGGATTATTAATTCAATACTTGAGTCATTAAATCAATCATTTTTATCAAAACCACAATGTTTGGATAGGATTTGATCATGCCATACAAATCACTGAAATCATGGCTGAATCAAGCTTTGAGTTCGTGTTTCTAGCGTAAAGCTCCTGGGCCGACTTGAATTAAACAATCAATAATAATGCAAAATTAAAACTGCTTAATTGCATATGTATATATTTTTTTTAATTATACAAGCGGTGCATCATCCTTGACGGAAGATCATGGAGGGGAAGTTCCTTGTGCAATTAATTAAGCTCATCATTCATGGTCAGATGGAACGTGCATTGCACAATGGTTTTTTGTACCCATGAGCATATATATAAAGATGTATAAAACTAGGTCTTATGCCAACTATATCATCATGGTAATTATCAACATTTCGATCGGATTTGGCTCTTATGATATTCTTTTCTTTATATCTAGTCATATTCCTTGAATCTAAAATGCAAGTGAATGAATATAATTTTGACACATATTAAAAAATTGTCAAGGATTTAATCATGTGTTTTTCAATCTAACCTAATTTGATTTGGTTGACTTGAAATAAAATCAACAATGAAATTAACACCAAAACCATGCTCAGTCTATAAAATTAAAGACTTTAAATATTTTTTATATATTTCATATGTCAAAAATATATTTTTGATACATAAAAAAAATTATAAATATGTTTTATATAATGTATACATATCCATAAATATTTTAAATAACTATAAGATATTTGTATTAAATATCTTATAATAACTTAGATATTTATGAGATATTCATATTAAACATCTTAGATATTTCTTAAAAAATTTATCTTGAAAAGTTCTATATAAAACATATTCTTTTTATATTAAAGCTTTGATAGATCTTATCTCTCTCTTTACAGTATAAGTCTAACAAAAAACACAAATCTTATATATGACTTAGACAACACTTAAAAAAATTTAAACTTAGAGAATTACATTTATTATCGCCGTCACTTGAACAAAAACATTATACTGATTTAAGCTTTAGAGTATTTTCTTAAAGGTATGCCAGAGCTCACTAAATCTTTCATGTTTAGTTTTATCAACTCATGAAAAGTGCCCTCAATTTTTTTATTGAGAATTTTTCCAGCCTCATCACACTTTGCATCGTCTGCGAGAAACTTAAAAAAAATCAATTCATTTCTATTTTTCAAAGGCTCTTTTTTAATGAATGACAAAATCTCAATGCAGTATCAACTATACTAACAACTATGTCTACAGTTACACTAATAATATGCTAGTAGCTAAGCTAGTGGTTATGCTCCATGTGGTTACGCTAGAGGTTACGCCCACAAATACACCTCGTGGCTGCCAATGGTTATACACAACTATACTTGGGATAACGCCCACAACTACGTCTACAACCGCT